GGTGTGAGCTCTTTGCGCTCTTTTTTGCGTGAGGATTTTTGAGCTTGGTGACCTCCCCAGCCCGGGAAGACTCGTCGGGCTCCCGGTCGCCCAAGTCCTGGTAGCGAGCTCTCTGAGATGCTCGGTTCGTTCGGTCGGCAGGAAGAGCCCCCCAGTTGCGACTTCGTTTATGTTAGGAGACCAACGGGCATAGATCCCGTCTAGGATGGAGCGCCAAACAAGCGCTGTTGCGTGCCGGCCGTCGTTTCCCGTGCGGCCTGACCCGGGGGCGGAGTGCATGAGACTAACCAGCCGTATGCACCCGCCCCCCGCGCTGTGCTTCGGCCCTGGGCCCCCGGCTTTTCAGCCCACAGTGTAATCAACGTCATACATACATACATACATACATACATACATACATACATACATACATACATACATACATACATACATACATACATACATACATACATACATACATACATACATACATACATACATACATACATACATACATACATACATACATACATACATACATACATACATACATACACCCACCGACACAGCCCGCACAAACTACAGTCGGGGTTCCGTAGCGACGGTTGTCAAGGTTCCGTAACAAAAATGCTATATAGGGGAGGCGGAAAGGGGATATGCAATAGATTATCCTAAAGGCCTTTAAAGCTGGTTTTCAAAACTGGATTAAGGGTTTGGACAGGACTAGGGCCCATTACATTACCGGGCGCATCCCCCTCACTTGTTCGCCACACCGGCCCCAGTGGGCCCATCCAAGAGGGGCCCCAAAAGAAATCAAACGCAAGCCGCACACAGCCGCACACAGACTCAGCTTTCAAAACAGGACCCACAGTATCCCTAATCCGCACATCCCCTCCCCCTCCCCTTCCCCCTCCCCCTCCGACGTCATCAACCCCCAATAAAGGAAGGTCCAGGGACACATACATACACACATACACGTCTCATGTTCATGTATTTGTTTTGCGGCCCAGTTTATCAAAACACACACCATATTCCCCCCCACATACACACCTGCTTTGTCTTCCAGCTGTCCCCGGAGATCCAGGCATACGACCAAGTTCCCTGAGCCATGCCGATCGACCCCATCCCCGACCAGTTACATTCGGACCCGGCCCACTGGGGCATGTTGGGCGGTGTGATGATCACGTGGTGACGATATCGCCTGATAAGGACATACACAAGCGAGATGAGAATATGTACGTATGTATGTAAATGTTGAAAAACATTTTATTACAAAATGCATGATGATGATGACATATACATATAATACATTTTGGATGCCGGATGCTGGAAAGTGTTGTTGGTGACTAAAAGGTGCTTCAGGGCACTTTCCTGCACGACGCAGAACGACATCGGGTGACACCGCCAGGTGAGGCCATCTTCGACCGTTAACCACCTCGCCCATTACTCCCTTCTCGTACGCCCGTTGAGCTCACCCTAGCATCCCCCCATCACCTACTACCTCCCCTCCAGGGCCCTGTGGTGGAGCACCCGCTGCCCCCTGCCCCCTGCCCGCTGCAGATCCTAACGTTCGTGCCGCGGCAAAATAGTCATCCAAAAGGTCCCATAAATTCGCGCAAATTCAAAATGCAAAATTCCACCAATGTCCTGTAAGAGCCCTCCTGGGAGGCCATTTTCCCGTTTGCCCTCCAGCCTGTACCCTCACCTCGACTTCTCCCCAAATCGGCTGCATTGCCGTACCACAATACCAGAACCCCCCGACAAGGCCCGCCATCTCACCTGTGATTCCAATCCTTGGGTTTTAAAACATTGTCAATGTAGTACTCCGCTTCGTACATCCAGTTGAAGAGATTGTCCCGGCTACAGCTGCTCGAATTCCAAGGCATCTTGGTCGCGTGACCCGTACCGTTGCAAGGCAGCGCAATGTTCACAATCCTCGTATTGTACTGGTCAAACTGTGCCTTGCCGTACGAGCACGTGGCAATGTAATCCGACATGGGTGCCAGCCCATTGAAGAGCATATCCGCAAGGGACTGTCGTACAGATGACAAGGGAGGGGGGGCGCAAGGGGAAAGGGTTGGCAATATCTCCAATGTGCCTGAATCTTCCCCCCCCCTCTAACACACACACATACACACACGCACATGTGTGTGCATGGGGGGGGTGGAGGGCGGCATAAAAGGGGTATTGAAAAATGGAAGCAGGGCCCCCAGGGATGAACCCTACGAAGAGAGCAGCAAAGCTGTTCGCTGTTTGACCGGTGGCTGCTTTCCAGACACAATCCGTCTATGGAAGGAAAGAGTTCAAGGGAAGAACGCCGCACGGGAACCGGTGACGTCATCATCTTTGCCAGACGGCTCGTAACCGTCCACAACAGGCGACTTCGGAGCTCCACACCGTTCACCGATTGATAGACGCAGATACCCGGAGGGCTCCCTCCACCCTCACCCCTCCACCCTCACTCCTCCACCCTCACCCCTCCACCCTCACCCCTCCACCCTCACCCCTCCACCCTCACCCCTCCACCCTCACCCCTCCACCCTCACCCCTTCATCCTCACCCCTTCATCCTCACCCCTCACCCCTTCACGCCCCAACTCCAACAGCTTCATATCTTGGCTCCGTGATCTCACCACCACCACCACCACCACCACCACCAAGCTCCCAATCCAACGAGACACCAGCGCCGAAACCCCCGTGGCCACTCCGAAACCCCCCTCGGCTTCAAGACCTTCCAAGAACACCTTCCGTACCCTAACCATAACCCATACCCCTGCCACGCGCCAACGCAATCTCTGACTCCCCCACCGCCGAGCAAAACTCCAAAGTTCCCAAGCCGCCAGTTTCCCCCCCCCTGCACCCACCGTATTGGTTGTCGCGGGGCCGCCACCCTTGCCGCACAGATCTAGCAAGATGAACAGCGTCGGCAAATCCCGTACGACACGCGGAGGATCCGGAATCACCTCATCCAGGATCACGCCCGGATTCCATTGCGATGCCCAGCTGCGAGAATTCACACCGCTGCCGCTGGCTGTCGACGTGGCCAGGTTGGAGTCGGATACGGTGGCCATGGGGACAGAGGGCATGAAGGGCGACGATGGCGGCCAGGGCATGCCCGGAGGTGGTAAAGGTGGGGGGGGCGCCAGAGGGGGCGGAGGAGGGCTGATGATGTCGAGAGAAAAGATGTCCCATGGGATGCCGAGCTCGGGGGCCTGCGGGGCGGTAAGGAGTTGGGAGTGGGTGAGGTGGGGGGTTGCTTGTGTATGTATGTATGTATGTATGTATGTATGTATGTATGTATGTATGTATGTATGTATGTATGTATGTATGTGTGTTTGCATATGTAGGTGGGAGGGTATTGCGGATATGTGTGTTTTCAATTATAAGGAACATTTGAGAGTGTAATTGAAGTATGTTTCCCCAAGATGAAAATGAAGGTAAGGTTCGTTTCACGTCGGGAATAGGAGTTGGGATATTTATACATGCCCCCGGGGCCCCCCGCGGGACAGAGAGGGAAAGAGAGATTCAGAGGGTTTCGGAGCCACATGGCGACGGGGAAGGGAACGTACTCCAAACTCCAACCCTCCATACACCCCCCCGCCCCACACACATAGACACCAGAGGGACCCCGGCCCGCACGACTACACGATCCGTGTATTGGATCAGCATAAGCAGGCACGTCATTAAAGTCCAAACAGGGCGTTTTGCTTTGTAGGTTGGTGTCCAACCGTACAGTCCCCATGCGCACAGCTCCCGCACTACGACAGCTCCCCTCCCATTCCTGCGGCCCATGCAAACCCCGCACGGCCGTTGCCCCAAACGTTAACCTCTAGGACCCTGCGCGCACCCCCCCCTCCCAACCCCCCGGGGGGACATCGTGGCAGGTTTTCGGAATTTTGCGGTTTCCATATCCCGGGCTGCAGTCGCTCGATTCGCTCGACACTCAACACCGGAGCTCCTGAGGATCTGCGCCGGATCTCCGGTTCCTTTCCCCACAGCCGCCTCCGACCAGGGATTGTCGCTTATCTGCCTATTCCCTCGTCTCAGGCCCCACAGTGCGTCCGCAGCGTTTGTGAGTCTGCGCTGGCTGGTCTGCTACTGCTACTGCTGCTACTGCTGCTACTGCTCAGCCGTCGCTGCTGGCCTGCTGTCGCGACTGCCATCGTCTTCACAACGACAGCCACTGCCGTCGCCACAGATGCCGCCAACAGCTCTACAATTGGTCCGGCTACTGCTACTGCCGCTGCTGCTGCTGAGCCGTATTGCTTAAAGTTCCACAATATCATGCGGCCGTTCATGCCGCTGCTGCCATTTGTCCGATGACAGCCACTAAGCCCGCTACTGCCATTTGTCCGATGATTATTGAGCCATCCACATCAGCGCAATGAAACCCATGCCATCCCATGTTCTGCATCTGCCGCTTGCCAACCAACGCATGAGTTGACTGTTTACGGATTTCAGGTATTTCTGCACCACCCGTCGCTTTCCCGCCATTCCAGGCGCTCTTAAGGCCCGCCCACCAAGGCATTCTTCCACACCTTGCCTTTCCCGCCGGAAGACGTGTCAAGACACAGCCAACGGATCCCGTACAGGCCATCCCCTTGTTCCAAAATGCCTCCCGGCATACATGGTAAACCTTTGCGCCATTCCCGTGTTCCGGCCTTCAAACTTTACCTGGGTGGACGTCACGCGCACCAAGCCACCAGAGGTCATAGAATTAAATATTGTGGGGCTGGAGGTAGAGATGAGTGAGTAGAGGCCGCCTTCATCTGCCATGAGCACGTGATCAGATCGATGTTTGCCGTTGGGGAACGTCGTATCTACGACAGTAAGGCGGCCTGCGCACATTAATGTCATACGTTCTGTTAAGCTTAACAACCTGGTTAGGATTAGTGCGGAAGTTCAGCTTGCTCTGCAAACCTTGCAGTGCATGCGTCATGCCCTCGGCTAAAACTGCCATACCCAAGCCACGAAAGCTTAACCCTGAAATCTTCGTAGCCTTACCGGTCTGTGTGTAGAACGAGGGCGCCACAAGCTGTGCAGCCGCACAGCAGCAAGTGATGATAAGCAGGGTAGCAGGCCGACAAAGTCGACAATGCCGTTTTGGAGCCAGCTCCATTCTATCTAAATATATCCGAAACTGGTAGATATTTAAGTAGGTATCTAATGAGGCCAGCTCAGCCCGGGCGACTGTGAAGCCGCGAAACTGATTGACCAATGCGGTTGGGCAGGTGAATGGTTGCAAAAGCTAAGCCATTCAAGGGCAAAACAGGTTTGGAAGAACGCAATGTTGAGTGGTGCTTGGATGGAGTTCAGAACCTCGTTCGTCCCAATGGCACAGGGACGTTACTCGCTGTCGCGAAGAGGACTGACGCTAGTGCTGCCGTCTGCCGGAACAATGCAAAAGAACTTAATAATCCAAGGCCATGATTTGTGCCCTGGATCAGAGTTCCGCTGATCTCACCCGGCGACCTGGGAGAAATTTGCTGGCCGATTGTTGAAAGCCGAGCAATCAACCCAGTTAGTATAGACGGCTAAGTCCTGAAGCTGCGGCACCTAATGCCCATACCTAGTTGCCCTAGTGACAGAGGTGGCGATGTGGACCGAGCCTCTAAACAGAGCTCGAACCAGGGCGGGCGCCCAGTAGCGAATAGGGCCCACACCTCATGAATTGCAGAACTGAAGCTTGAGATAATGTCCATTCAATACTGCAAAAAATTACGTTCTTACATCCCGCAATCTTACGGCCGTCGCCAACTAGCTGGGCAGCCTGGGCTGTCGACACTGCAACGATAACGACGTGCTTAAACGGTAACGGACTTAAACGGTAAAAGACTTAAATGCTCGCAACAACGGTGGTACGACAGCAAGTGAACTCCAACATACCGAGCATCCGCGCAAATCAGTCTCTCTCTCTCAATACCATTTAACGTCTCTTCGCTAAGGTAGCGAGTAGAGACAACCAAGAGCCAGCCAAACTACACTGACCCGCAGTGGACAAGAAACAACGAAGCGTACCCAGATATGGAGAATGAGGTATAAAATCCTGTCCCTTATTTGCCAAGCTTTGCCCGTGTCAGCGGCACTGGGCCACAAGAGTGGTGTCGGCGGGTAGACCGGCCGAGAGAAGGCGCGACTGAGGGCGTTTCCCGCCTTCGTCGGGAGTTAAGCGAATAATAGCGTTCCTGTTATCTCAATTAGTGCCAGCCGGGGCAACTGCTGAAGAGAAAAGCAAGCAAGCATACCTGGTCGTCCGACCCATTTAATAAGCAGCGACCGACGGACCAGTCGGACAAACCAGGAAGAGCGACAAGTCATCCATGCGGAATTAATTATCGCAACGAAGCGACGACAGAGCACCCGACCCAGAGCCGGGCCCAGTCCACCCCCATCTGACTTTCCGACCTTGTCCTTTTGACTTGCTCGTAGTGGGCACTGGCGAGGAACGCGATTGGAGGCGACGGGGAGGAGATGAATTTCCCAGACAGACCGGTGAGTGATTAGTTCGAGGGAAAGGCGGGGTGGCAGATGTCCCCTCTAGCGACGCAGTGACAATTGTTCCCTCTAGCGACGCGGTG